GCAGAATTAGAATTATCAGCAACAATATCGGCAGGGGGATCGTTAAACAAAATATAATCAACTTCTAATTGTTAAAAGAAAATTAAAAGTTTCTGGGACCAATGCTTATAATTGTTTTCATCTAAAGGCTCAAGCTTTGATAGATCAGGAAGTGTTTTGTTCAAAGTGGTGGTCATTAGTCAATATTATATACGAAGTCACTTTCAAATTGTAAGGAAAATGAGTAGATAATATTGACTAAAAACAAGAATGAAAGAAGAACAACATATCAAAAATACTGTGTCATAGCAAGTCAGTGCCTTGAAAGCGATTTCCGCCCGACTGGGTACAAATCGTTAAGACCGGTCGCTCCCCAAGGTTCCACAGCACCTCCAAACACGTGCACTCGTGGCTGGAAGTTTAGAATTTGCACAAAAACAGTTACCCAGAAAGAAGAGAAGATGAAGGTTTTTTTTTGTAGTTGTTACCAAAATTAAAATATTGTAAAAAGAAAGTAATGATTAGCAAGATAAATTATTGGTTAAGAATTGAGTGAATATGATGGCTAATGATATCTTATTTATAGGCAATTAGGGAAGTTGCATGTATGATAAGTGTGGAGAGTCTTTTAACACTTGTCCAAATATATTAGTCCATTTGACAAGTGAACTTAGTCTTCCATGCATGAAGACACATGATAGATTTGCATAGCCATTTGTCAAAGTCATTCAACACTTGGCTTTAAGGCTTCATGCAAGAAGCCACTTGGAAATAGATTGAAAAAATAAAAAGACCCATGACTATTGGTTGTAAATGAATTTTCAATTTTTTGTTGACTTTGCATTATAAATAATACCAACATTAACAAAGTCAATCATTTAATAATCACCAATCTAAATAACCAGAAACAATTCCAATACCCTTGTCAACAAAAACAAGAACGAGTTTCTAAACAATATATGACCAAGCGGTGAAATCTTGGATCACGTCCAACATTAACCTGCTTTAAAAATTGAATCTAATACAATCTAGTCCCTATTATCTACTCTGTCCGTTCACTTTTACTTGGCACATGTTGACTTTTCATGGTTCTTAAGAAATAATAAATAAAGTGCATAATTTACCATGATACCCATATTAATTGATGCATATTTTATTGGATTTGAGAAAATAATTTGAAATAAGTAATAAATAATGTGGGTATAATTGGAGAAAAAATTTATCTTCTCTTGATATACGTAAAGTGACAAGTAAAAATGAAATCTATTTTTGGTATACATGCCAAGTAAAAGTGAACAAAGGGAGTACCTATTAATATAAAGATCTTTTAACACTTCAATTATTTTTATTGTATCAAGTGTTTGAGCTAACAAGTGTTAGATAACCTACCCACCAAATGCAAGTATCTTTATCACCTCACTGACTTAAACAAGTTGAGCAATGATGAAAATATGTTCGTGATGTTAAATGCATATAACAAAATTTCATATACAAGAACAAAAATTGTCCTTCTAGCCAAAAAAAGAGTCCTAATCCGCCGTAGTTAATTATATATTAAATACCACAACTTTTAGGACCTCGCTTCGGAGTGTAGAGGCCGTACATAGCCTGTTAAAAGAGACTTTTAAGAATTTTACATGGACAACTATGCAGCTAGTAAAATTCTTTAAGACTCTTTTAATACAAATACAGTGTAGTATGTGACCAAAAGATTAATGGGCAGACCTATACGGCTGCGAGTCTACGACTTCTTAGGAAAATAAAGAGAGCTGTTGGTTCGGAGGTTTTGCCAAATTATTAGCATAGTAATAGGTGGATTATTATTCTTGTACTATTTGAGGAAATTAAGACTAATCATGTAAGATTCCAAAAATAATTCGTTATCAGAATTAATAGTGACTAGCATAGCACTAATAGATGTGCGACTGAGTAACACTTATGCGTTTTTTTTTTCTTTCTAATTCTTTTTGTGGACCTAGGATTTCTAGGAACTATGATAAAAGGTTCATGTCAGTGGAGCTAACTTTGTCCAGAGTATAGTGCTAGAAGTGAGTTTCATATCTCACATGCAACACCAGAAATTAGTTAAGTTAGGAACTTTGAAATTCATTATCAAGTGATTCTTCATTCTCAAAGCTAGAGCGCAAGACTTGTGGTCCACGCGATTTTGAAATTTCAATTGTCAGTTCAAAGCTCTAATGTGGTAGTAAGTGCAGAAGAATAAATATGGAATATGGTTATGGAGATGAATATAATGTGTAGTTTTGAGACGACTGAGTCGTAGGGGGGTTCACTCGCTTCTAAAAACCTTCACATTTAAGAGTTTTGCTGCTTAATGCTATTCAATTCACTCTTTAAAGGGCCACTCTCCTTGTCTTCCATCCTTGACCAAATTTCTTCTCAACCCAAGCTTCCTTCTCATTATTTTAGTTATCAAGAACAGAGCTAACATGAACTTGTTGAATCTTTGTACTCTACATGTGTCGTTGTCTACTTCTTCTTTTCCATTCAGGGGTCGCTCGGTTTACTATATTTACAAGAATTATCATATCATAAAATTCCGCATACGTTAATAAATTTTCTAGTCGGTCGTGCAAAAATAGAATTGCCTCATAAACTCTGCATGGGTAATATTGCATAAGTTATGCAATAATCACATATTATTGTAGTCGAGATAAAATGTGAAATAATAATATATGTATTAACAATATACGTTTAGCAATATTTATTTTATTATTCTCAATATAACAACAATAAAGAAATACGGCAGTTAGGTGCACTGTGTTCATACAAAGTCCAGGGAAGAGCCACATTCTAAGGGGGTGCGATGTAGACAGTCTGCCCTAATGAAAACATAATTGACTGATTACACGAATCCAACTCGTGATCTATAAGTCATGCAGGAATACTGTTACTCCAACGTAACAACAATCATCTATATTATTATTCACGACATAAGTACATGGACTTTCCATCCAACTACCTAATGAATTCTATGTGTACAAATTAGGAGAACTTATGATCCCCAAAATAGTAAATATGCCAGATAAGAAGAGATAATGGGAGTATTAGTTTTTCAAGTAAAAAAAGGGCATACAAAGTATCTTGCGTTTACGCAGAGTTCGAAGAAGGATTACATCCAAATGATATGATGTAAATAGTTTATCCTAATGCAAGTATTCGTGGCTGCTTAGATCACGCGGAGATAACTTTACCACTACTCCAAATCTGCTATTCTAGTTTTTCAAGCTAATACACGGAAAAGGGAAGAAGAAAAAAGGCAATAGTATTACTGCTTTGATCCAAGAAACAGGAAATTGGATATGAAGAAGCTGATAACAAATTGATATCTCAGATCAGATGTCAATTCAATTCTTATCTGTAAAATAAATAAGTCCGGTTGGATCATTTGTCTTGATCAAGCCGGCGAATTATGAAACAGGGGAATTAACTCCTATCACATGTTCTGCTCTTCTTCACCCCCTCGTGGCCGCAGTCCAATGCACACCATTCATTCATTATGCCCCCCTCAACTACTTTTTCCATTTAGCTTCATGTTAGTAGTTGTTAGAATTGACAATATATAGTTAACTCTATGGTTGTAGTAATTGCTGCTTACCAAATTTTCCCTGTTTGTGAGGTTGACAAACGAAGCTCTCTTTCGTCAATAAACCAGTAGACACCGCTGGCAAAGAAAGCTGTGTTAAAGATATCTTTATTTTAGAGGAAAAAATTTCAAATTTATTCCTCCCGTTAGGAGCGATATAAACAGGTATGCTGCAGAAACTAGTAAAGCAAATTTTGAACGACGATAAATCAGATAATAAAAGAGAAATATACTAAAAGAATCACTAATATTTAACAAGGTTCACTCTATTGATCTACGGCTAATACTTGTCTCAAAAATTCTCCCCCAAAATTAGACGTTCAAACCCCTTATGGCTACGTTGTAGATGCTACTAAATGAGAAGAAATGATGTTCATTTTATAGAAATTCAAAATATTTTCCTCCAAGGAAAAAGATTAGCCAAATATGGAATAATCATATTTTCCTTTTCGTAAAAGATAAAATCAATTTTGGTAAATATGTTATCCTTTTCTTCAATAAATAAAAAAATTAAATATGGTCAGAAAATCAGGACAATCGCCTAACACCTCCTCGCAGGGGCCCGACCCCCCTACACTTAAAAATTACATTGTGCATATAAGATAAAATTTATTTTGTATTTACATATTTTATTTTGAATCCCTTGACATAATTCAAAAGCATAACTTAGTAGTCAAGTAGGTTCAAAATCTTTATAAGATGATTAGTTCAATTTTCACTGCCTACCGGCTACCGTCTCTTTTATTTTACCCCTTTGCTATTAGAAATCTCGTATTTGTACTTGACTCTAACATAATTCCAGCATGAAATGGATGTATTCTACGTGTCAAAACACTTCAGGAAAATGTTTATTACCTTTCTTCTTTTGATTATAATAATCGTATGTTATTTTATCTGAACTCGGGGTAAATTGAAAATAACCTTTCTATATTCAGAAGGTAGAAGTAAGGTTGCATGTACATTATCTTCCCCAAACTCTATTTGTGAAATTACACAAGATCTATTATTGTTATTATAATCATATGTTTTACTTTAAGTTGAAGCTATGTTACTATTAAGACAAAGGACAAGTAATCCCGGCCTTCTAACAATAACCCAGTGAAAATCTTCATAAGTAGAGTTTGGGAAGGGTAGGATTTACGCAGTCTTACCCTTACTATGAGAGGGCAGAGAAACTGTTTTCGATAGACCCTTATCTACATCCCGACCTTATAACATAAGATAAAATTAAGAGATTTCGTAGGTATTTTTACCTTAATTTTACCATCTTGTGAATTAATACCACTTAACTACTTCCAAAGCGGCATTAAAGGGTAGCTCAACCTTCATCTCCCATCTTGAATGCACAATAATTGATCCTCGGTCGGTACTGACATGCACATGACTTTACTATAAAAGTTTTGGAGTGGAAAATCTCAAACACATAATAGTCTTGGAAAATGGGAGTCCAAACAATGGCATTGATCTTTGTGGCGTTATTGGGTTTTGCCAACCGTCTGAATGCTCAAGATTCGACTACCCTTGTTCCGGCAATCATTACATTTGGCGATTCAGCTGTGGATGTTGGGAATAATGACTACATTCACACCCTTTTTAAAGCCAATTATCCCCCTTATGGAAGGGATTTTGTTAATCGTCAACCTACTGGAAGATTCTGCAATGGCAAATTAGCCACTGATATCACTGGTAAGTATATTCGGAATTTATATTCTATGGTTTCAATTTTTAAAGTTTTTAGCATTGAACCCATTATATTTTTAAAATTATGAATTCATATCTACTATTTTTGTAATTTACTCTGCATCGAAAGTTATTGATTCAATTGAATCCTTCGGTGAAACAATACATCCGCTTCTGCCACAGAGTAATTAGTATACTAAATATGTAGTCCATTATTCTTGGGGAACTCACTTGTTCGACTAAATTCGCACGGTAGAATGTCTATTGCTGGGAATTTTAGCATTTTCTATTGAGGAAAACTCGAATTTGAAATATCTGTTACTCCCTCATGTCCTCAATAAGTGATTTTTAGTTTTTTATTTTGGTCCAAAATAAGTGTTCATTTACATAATCAAGAAGAAATGAATTTTATTTTTCGTTTGCCGCTATTTATATATTCCAACGTGTCTAAGTAACAATTAATTATGATTAATTTAGTGAATACATTTTTTTTCTTTGGGACTTTGTATTTCATTTTGCCAAAGGTAAAATGTGAAACATTTTTAGTAGTAATAATTTATTTATTGTTGCAGCTGATACTCTTGGTTTCACCACTTACCCACCTGCATATCTGAGCCCCCAAGCATCAGGCAAGAATCTCCTTATTGGTACTAACTTCGCTTCTGCCGCTGCTGGCTATGATGATAAAACTGCCGTCCTCAACGTAAGTCTAATTACAAGCACTCTGTATTTTGATTTTTATTTTGTATAATTATCGGTCCGAGTTTATTATAAATATTGTTAATATGACTAGTGAGAATTCATATAACCGACTATGTGTAATTGTTGGGGCTAACTGTTTTGATAAATCTTGGTGCAGCATGCAATTCCATTGTCAATACAGATGCAATATTACAAGGAATACCAAGCCAAGCTAACAAAAGTTGCAGGCAGCCAAAAAGCGGCCTCAATCCTAAAGGATGCGCTCTACATATTAAGTGCAGGAAGCAGTGATTTCTTACAGAATTACTACATTAATCCTTATATTAACAAACTCTATACTCCTGATCAGTATGGTTCTTATCTTATCGGCATCTTCACTAGCTTTGTCAAGGTTGGTTATTTTGCTTCTAATTTAGTTTCTGCATTAACGATAGCTGAGGTTGCAGACAAATTAAGTTTAACATGGAATAGATCCGTCTAATTAACTTGAAGGTGTATATTGTGATATGTAATACTTTTTTAGTAAAGATGGCAAATAAGCGGGTTAGGTTAAACTTGAGCGATTAAAACAGGTCAAATCAATAAATAAATCATGACACAACTAATTTAAAGTTTGGTTGAGTTAAAATTGGTTGGGTCAATACAGAACAAAACAAGTCATTACCCAATTTCCAATCTCTCTTTTCTTTTTCCTTTTTTTTCTTTTTACTTTTTGAAGAAAAAAAAAAGAGTGAAAGTTAATGTCTTTCTCCTTAAATTATTACTAGCTTAAATTCTTTCAAATTTACATCATCCTCAATCTCAAAATTGTATATTCTAGGATTTGGGTTGCATTTTATCGATCATGTACTTGTATTACACTATCATTACATGTTGTTTCTTTCTGTCTCATTTTCTTTTTATTTTGTTCTTGTTACTGTTTGTTGTTACTGCTCTATTTTTATTTTTTCTCGTTCTGCGGGTTGACCATAAACAACCTCTTAACATTCACTATAGGGGTAAGATATGCGTATTCAATATCCTCTTCATACCCCACTTGTGAAATTATACTGGATTTTCTTGTTGTTGTAATTTGATGACTTGCAGATTTCAACTTGTTAATTAAAACAGACTGATTTAATTATTACTAAAAAAAATGAGTTAATTTTAATTTGTCACATCTAGTTTTTCCTGAACTCTGTAAACAGGATTTGCATGCCCAAGGAGCAAGGAGAATTGGAGTGACTTCACTACCACCATTGGGCTGTCTTCCTGCTGCTAGAACTTTGTTCGGATTTCACGAGAGTGGATGCGTCTCAAAAATCAATACAGATGCCCAACAATTCAACAAAAAGATAAATTCAGCTGCTACACAATTACAAAAACAACTCCCAGGTCTTAAGATTGCTATCTTTGACATTTTCCAGCCCCTATATGACCTCGTCAAATCTCCATCAGACCACGGTACGTAAATATTCCACATCCTCTCCTAATATAATATTTACATAGTATATGGTAAATTGACACATATAAGTCGAGTTATGATAATATATAGAATCATATAATCACTGGCACTGCTGCTACGAAATCCTGCGTATGGTACTGTTACTGACATACTTTTCCGTGATTAGGATTCACGGAAGCAAATAGAGGGTGTTGTGGAACAGGAACAGTGGAAACGACGTCGTTGTTGTGCAACCCAAAGTCACCAGGGACTTGTAGCAATGCAACTCAATATGTGTTTTGGGATAGTGTACATCCATCTGAAGCTGCTAACCAAGTCCTAGCTGATTCACTCATCATCCAAGGCATCAACCTTATTGGATAATTGAACAGAATTTAAAGTATTGTTACTCTTATATTTCTCTCGAGTTTAATGTATAAGTCTTTCTTAAAGTTACCACGTTCATTTTCTTTTGTTTCTTGTTTACTTGTTTCTGGGAGATGAAAACATTGTCCTGTATTGCTTAATATTTTCCTTTTATTAATGAGAGTACCATGTGTTGTGTTGGAAAAAAAATGTACTAAGGAAGATTTGAACCGAAAAGTCTCCTTTTTCTTTTAATGTTTATGGGACTGAGGTCTCCTTCTGCAAAAGCTGGCTTGCGAATTCCATTTGTCTGTAATATATACTACACTACTTTTTTTCATAATAAAACCATAAAAGAATACCACTAGCGGAGGTGGTGCAGTTAATAGGGTAGATGACGATCTCCAATACGAGTATCGGACACCGGGTGAGATTAAAAAAAAAGAAAAGAATAGCAGTGGTATAATGAAAAATTATTCCTGGAAGCATTTACCTAGATGAAAAATTGTTTCCTTTTTCATCTAGCCCCCTAGATCTTGTGCAAGGCCAAGTTCCTATTGCTCAAAATTCAAACTACTCTACTAGTTTTCCAGAAACTAATTTTTCAATCTAGCTAGTAAAAGGATTCTCTGCAAGGGCCAAGGTCGTTGTTCCTAGATAATTTTTTGGGGAAGTGCATAAATAACTATGTTTATGGCTGCTATTTAGAGATTGGTCAGTACTTATTTTGGCCTGAAAATTTGAACCAAAAATCTTAATTTCAGGACAATTCAAGATATTTGTATCCCAAAAAATTAAACTGAAAAATTGAAATTCATGACGTATTGGCTAATTCCTAAATAGCATCCCTTTAGAATTGCTATCTAGTGTCATTTTTACATAATTTTTCGACTTAAAATATATCTCAAACTAGAGAATTTATCCGCGTTTCGCGCGGTTATAAAAACTATAAGTGAATTAAGAAATCATATATCCATATCTATATAATATGAAACTGGTCATTACATTAATAATGTGACACATCTCATAAACCAAGAAAGGTATTTGTTTTTTTTTTCTCTCTGTTTTGTTTTGCTTTTTGGTCTGTCATTCATGAATATCATCAATTCATGTATTGAGGGTGTTGTTGCATGTGATAATGCGCCACCAATCCAAATCTTGCGGTCAATAACAATTCAGAATTCTATTAACAACATGTAAAAATATTGAAGTAAAATAAAAATAAAAAGAATAAAAAATTCATGAACTAATTGTTACTGAAATAATAATTTCCCTGGCCTAATCCACTCAAAATAATTGACATATACATTCATAATCCTTGAATTACAAAAAGATGAAGATAAAAAATATATCATCCTTTGTAATACAAAATAAGGAGCAAATTAAAGGCAATAATTTAACATTTTCTGCTCCATAATATTTTTGACAAACAGTAAAGCACGTATAAAAGACATTAGAAAATACCACCTCATTTTTGTGTAATCCAAATTTAAACCATATCATCTTTCCTTGTAAACTCATATAACTGGAAGTTAGTTGCAAAGGTCAAAGTTCTTAAACTTCATATATGCACCCTTTGAATCCACGTAGAGGCGGATTCAGGATTTGAGCCTTATGGGTTCCTATCGTAATTTCAAATTAATATGCAATAATAATTGGGTTCACAATCAGATATTTATCAATATTTGGTGAATTTCTTAATACAAATACATGATCCACGCAAGAGTTATTGGATTCCCGGGAATCCTTAATCTATGCACTAGGTCCGCCCCTGAATCCACGCAACTTGTTTCTCAAAGAAATTACAAGCAGTCGTACCCAACTCATACACATGGGATGAGAGCTTTGAAACTTGAGAGTATGAAATCCTAATGGTGGCTAAGAGATTGGCTTTGCAGACATATCTCATTTCAAAGGACCATGAGAGAATAGAATATTTAAAGTTTGACACATAGAGTTAGGGTAATACTTACTCACACCGGATATTTACACCAAACTATATTAACTCATTATGATTAATTAATTTAATTAGATGAGAATGCATATAATTTATCATGGTTAAATGCTTGAAGTCCATGTGCAAAACACATATGATATATCTATTGATTGGTGTAAACACCATGTGCGGGTAAATTTTCACTTTACATTCGAAAGTATGTAGCAGAGAGAGCAAAAAAATACAATTATATCAGAAGGATTGTTGAAGCTTCTACATTCTAATCCGCATAAACGAATATATTTCTAAAATATGTATCTAATAATCCTTCTACATTACTGATCAAGAATTTGCTTGGATAAAGCATCGCTGCTGACTACACTTATTCTTGATTGGGTAAGTTTTGCTTTATACTAAAGTGGGTGAATTGAAAGCCAAATTGTTGGCTTATCGCTTCTGAAACGGCACATTTAATCCTCTTTGTTGTTCTTAACGGAAGTAAAAGCAATAGTTAGTATTCAGAAACGACAGCTTATTGATTTAATAATTGAGTATTATATTAAAATTGAAATTAATTAACATTATATCCATTGTAACCGGTAGCAACTTTTCTAAAAGAGTGAACTGTTGCCTATTGAATTTTCTAGTAGAGCCACGTTTAAAAGCTGGCACAGGAGAGTGCCACATCAGTTCACCTATTGCTCAGCTTTATATTTACACTAGTGAATGTCTTATTAAGCCACGTTTAGTTGACTTACTAATTATTTTCTAATAAGATTAAAATGACATAAAATAAGAAATAAAAATAAAGCAAATTGTACAAGAATTCGTCATTGATTTGTGTTGCTGACTTTTATCCTTTGTATTCGAAGATTGCCTCCATTAGGATCATTCAAATTGACTACACATACTTCACTATGACAACAACTCCAATAGTATTTTGTCATGAAATTATTCACTTTCTTTCCCATTTAAATTATATGTGCAATAGTATATTTGCATCCCCCTCCCCCATAGCAATCATGAAAGATATTAGTAAATTCATACTTTATAAAATGCAAATTTTGCTCAGACATATAAAGTATTAAAGTATTAAACCCAGTAAAATTTTGTCGTGTCACTTAATATAAATTCTTTGATCGCATTTATATTTTAAGAACCAATGAGACTTGATAGAGGTATTACCATCAACTCATATTATCCTAATTAAAAAACTCATATTATTCAAAAATTACACATACAAAGAGGTGGTGAATAACTAACTCCCTTTAATTATCATATACAATAATTTTATAGTCAACAATTAAACTCATGGGAAGAAGATCCTAGTATACCCATGAGCATCCATAATTATATCTTGAAAATTTTACTCCTAATAATCTCAATCGGCGACAATTGTCATCCGACAAAATAAAATGGTAGAAATCGAGAAGACAAATACAATCCTCTTTTAAAAAAATTAAACATCTAATGGACATCAATTAAATCATATGTGGCAGATTTTTATATCGAATACTACAACCAGCAATTAAGTCTATTTACATACCTATATATTGTAATTATTAAACAATTAATGCTTACATTAAAAAATGAGGGAAAAGTTCCATAAAATGAAACCATACATATTGTAATGCCTAGCATTCACAGTGCCATTTGAAAGTCTCGTACTATACGCATGCAACGGACGCCACTTTTGGTTGATTTAGGTGTTCGGCCTCATTGTCGTGGAGATTGGACTTCGGTGCTGAAACATGTAATAAGTAGTTTAATATGTAATGAATAGTTTAATTGGTATATATATATATATATATATATAGAGAGAGAGAGAGAGAGAGAGAGAGAACAATCTAGCACTCCGGCGTTTTCTCCTTTGAACACATGTTGATGCATATCTGAATCTCAAAGTAACATAAAAGGATACTATTATTTTTGCTAAGAGAAGGAAGATACAAAATCATTTTCAGAGGAGAAAAATATGTAAAATTGGTCATGCTTTAAATAAATCATAATTAATCACATGTACATCATTTGCTTCCCAATTGTTTGCCTTTTGAGATAGGGGGCAAAAATTGACTTCCCTCATCTTTAAAGCAACCCTATCATTGCAAAAGGGTATACATCATAGTTTCAAGTTTTTTGGATCCAATTATCTTCTCATGAATTTGCGGTTATTGCATACACTATTCCGAATATTATAATAGGTGCCAGAACTACTAAAGAAGAGGAAGTAACGACCGAAATAAAATGAAAGGAATGAAACCTTTTGTGACGATCCGGTCAGTCGTCTCATGAGTTACCATTCTGTTTTCTTCATTTCTTCTTCTTTTTGCTTTGTTTATCGGTTCTATATATGATCGGGTTGGTTGGCTCTGGTTCGGAAAGGATTTGAGACACCTAGTCTCTTTTGAGAAAGCTTAAGTTTGAAAAGTCAACTGGATGTTGACTTAGGTGTTAGAGGGTTCGGATGTGAGTTCCGATAATTCGGATAGTTTCGGGAGGTGATTTGGGACTTAGGAGCGTGATCGGAATATTTTTTAGAGGTCCAGAGTAGATTTAGGCTTGAATTGGCGAAATGAGATTTTTGGCGTTTTCCGGTTGATAGGTGAGATTTTGATATAGGGGTCGGAATGGAATTCCGAGAATTGCAGTAGGTCATTCGGGATATGTGTGCAAAATTTCAGGTCAATCGGATGTGGTTTGGTTGAGTTTTTAATCAAAAGCGTAATTTAGAAGATTTTGAAAACTTGGGCTTGAATCTGATGTGTTTTGGTCGATTTGATGTAATTTTGAGCGTTCCGAAGGCTAGGGGACCGCAGGTGCGGTCTCACAGAAGTGAAAAGGGAGCCGCAGATGCGGCCAGGTTGAAGGATAGCTAAAACCGCAGAAGCGGTCGAGGAGGCGCACCTGCGATGGCACAGGTGCGATATTTTAACCGCAGAAGCGGAAATTGGTCGAGCAAGTGAAAGACTGCAGAAGCGGCATCTTGGACCGCAAAAGCGTAAATGAGCCGCAGATGCGAAATGCCTGGGCCAGAAGGTATAAATTATTTCCTTCGCGATTTTTGAGCTATTCCACCATTGATAAGTCGGTTTTTGGAGCTTTTTAGGCGATTTGAAGAAGGATTTCAAGGGAACTTCGTTGAGGTAAGGATTTTGGACCTAAAACTCGTTTCTATGGTATTATTTCACGGATTAGGCTTGTAATTTATGGAAATTAAGGGTTAGAATTGGGAAACTAGGGCTTGGTATTGGAGACATGGACTTGAGGATTTGAGGGACCATTGGTGGTCGGATTTTGGTACTTTTGATATGTATAAACT